TGTAAAACTATAACAAGGTTTACAAAAGAATAACTCACATAATAATACAAAATTCTGTATTATACACATCGCAACCTCATCAACATAAATACTCATACATAGACAATGCAGACTCAAAAACAAGTTTCAGCAACCAAAAGGGACCCAAAAATAAATAAATAAACAAAAGAAAGCTAAAAGTAGACATTTTTAAGCTTTACGAATTATCCTCAACTTTCATAACAATCCTAGTCCTTCTCTCCCCAGCTAAACTCACATTTTCCGCATCAACAAACCTTGATTTCTTAAACAACCTCACGATCTTCTTCACCTCGTTCGGCCCGCACTCCTCCACAGTCACCACGCAAACCCCACCAGCCCTCACCGTCCTCTCCATTTGCCCCACGAACCGGCCCGGAAAAAGGGCCCGATCCAGGTACAGCCCGAGCCCCAGATCAAAAATCCCATCAAAAAAGGGTAGATTGTGGGGATCCGCCCGGCTCACCAGCGGCGGCGATTCCACCAGCTCCACCCCGGTTACGTCCTCCACGCCCATATCCTGCAGAGCTTGCACAGCGTGACCCGGTCCGGCGGAGACGACCAGAGCCCGGGAGTCGTTCGAGAGGTGGTTTCGGGCCTGGAGCACCTTCAGGAGGGAGGCGTACGAGGCCACGGCGGTTTTCCAGGCGTTGGTGGACCGGAGACGGCGGTTGCGCTTGTCGACGGAGGTGTAGGGGCGGTGGGTGAAGTCGCAGGTGGATTTGGGGAATCGGGTGTGGGGTTTCGGGTTGGGGTCGGCCGGGTCGACGCAGGTGTCGGGGGTTTGCAGGTAGAGGAGCAAGAGGGTCAGCGTGGCTATGGCTATGGAGGCAAAGGAGAGCCTGTTGAGGAGTATCTGTACGTGTTTCTCCATGGATGGATCATTTGGAGCTCCGGCGGTGGAACCCTTTGATTGATGAATTTGGGGCCCCTACGACGTCGTTTGCCGTTCACGTGGTTGCTTTTTTTGCATTACTCGTTGTCTCGTTTTATTTGGTTTGATGGATGTCTTAAATTGATATTACTTCAAATTAATTAGGCAAATAAGTATCACATTTGGATAAATTAATAATATTCTAAATTTTCAAGTTATTTCATATCTATCTATATCTATATATATATATAATTGCTAGCTAATCATTAAATAAAACCTCATAAATAAAATCTAATTAATAAAACCTCATTTATTTTCTCTCAAAATAAGTTACAAAATTTGTCATTCATATTTTGTCTTTCACATTAATACACCCCTATTAAGTGTAATCATGTAAAAAAATTAATAGCATTAACTATTATATAATATAATAGAAAAAAATAGCATTAACTACTACTATAATAATAATAATAATAATAATAATAATAATAATAATAATAATAATAATAATAATAATAATAATAATAATAACAACAACAACAACAACAACAACAATAATATATCTTGAAACAATAAAATTGTTTATACTTATGTAATTTATATTTAGTGTGAAATATCATGAGTTGGTAATAGCATTAACTATTATATAATATAATAGCAAAAAAATACATGATTACACTTAATAGGGTGTACTAATGTGAAAGGCAAAATATGAATGATAATTTTTGTAACTTCTTTTGGAGGGAAAATAAATAAGGTTTTATTAATTAGGTTTTATAAATGGATCATGCTACATGTACCCCTTGGTGTACCACTTGGTTCACATCCAAGGGGTACATTTATCTATTTACCATTATTATTATTATTATTATTATTATTATTATTATTATTATTATTATTATTATTATTATTATTATTATTATTTTAATTTTATATTTCATGAAACAAATTTCTTTAGAAACAATTAGTAAATAGTTTTAATAGTATAGTAAAAAAACTTTAAAATCTTATAAACAATTGTCGTTGTAATAATAGTAATTATAATAATAATAATAATAATAATAATAATAATAATAATAATAATAATAATAATAATAAAGTTTTCAGGTAAATTATTTGACCATGATCCCTCCAAATTATAAAAATTACATTACCCACAATTTTTCTTAATCAATATAGTGATTCATATGTACTCAAATAATTTATATAAATATTATTTTATTTTTACTAATGATTAAAAATCTTTAAAATGTGGTATGTCATTATCTAAAATTTTAATATTAAATTCACACATATAACTTATAATATTTTATGTACATTTGTGCATGTGCACATGATGATAACTAGTATATATAATTACTAACTCATATGCATTTAATAAAACTTCAAATCTTTTCCCTCCAAAAGATGTTACTTTGCATTAATTAAGTATTTAAAATTTTTTATTTATTTTATTATATAGCAATTACTCCTAACAAATCATAAAGCCACATTAAATGAAATTATAATTTAAATTTTTTTTCAAACTATTTATTTGATTTTTTTTTGGTTTTAACTCATTAAGCAAGTGTTTTTATCAACATTAGTTATTTAATTTTTATGATATAACCAAAATTTTCAATATTTCGATACTATAATAATAATTATTTCAATATTATTTTATTTAATCAATTGTTCATACTAAAAAAGTATTGCAAATATTATATAACTGCAATCGATATAAAAACTAATATGTAAGTTAATAATTTATCGTTCATTTTTACTAATGATAAAATTTATAAAATGTGATATGCTATTATCTAACTTATGATTTTAAATATTACATACACATACATATAACATATAAAATTGTATTTGTATTTGTGCACATGCATAAGATCGAATACTAGTTTGTGTCTTACAGTGCATAACAATTAAATCTAAATACAAGAATCTCAACTTTCAAATGATATCAAGTTGATTATATAATTAATTTAATAGATCATATTATAAATAAACAATTTTTGTAATATAATAGTTTAAATATTCTATAATTATAAAACTCATTATAATAACAAGGAGAAGTGCAAAAAATTATAGGATTACCCATAAAAAAAAATATAGGATTAATTGCTAAATAGACCTTAATTTTTTTGGGTTTGGCAATTTTATCCCAATCTTTGGGTAATTGCAATATAATCTCGACCTCAATTTACTTATTGCAAATTTGGGTGCAGAGTGATTAATTTTAGGGATTTGTGGATCGATTTTGTGTCCAAGTCTTCCATTGACACGAGTTTTTATGCCATCCACGTAGCAAGTTGACAATTTCCACATATTTAATGTATATCCACGCACAAAGATGAAAATTCTACGTCAATGTAAGCTACCGGTGATGAGTCTCCTCCTATATCTAGAGTGAACCGATAAATATGAGTTCCGATCTGTTCGAACCGCCTTCAAATCGACCAATTTTTTGAAGGACCAATCGGTTCTAGGTTCGAATTGCAATAAGTAAATTGAAGTCGAGATTATATTGCAATTACCCAAAGATTGAGATAAAATTGTCAAACGCAAAAAAGTTAAAGTTTATTTAGAAATTAACCCAAAAAATATATGGATAAATATGATTACAAATTATTAAAAATTGCACACATTTGATTTATTCCTATAGTAACTTGACTTTAATTTATTTTAATATATAATTAAAAGATTTTAATTGTAATTGTTTTATTATTATTATTATTATTATTATTATTATTATTATTATTATTATTATTATTATTATTATTATTATTATTATTATTATTATTATTATTATTTTCTCGTAG